TTGATCGTGACGAAAAGCCAAAAGGAAAAACCTTTTCGCGCAGGGTATAGATCTGCGAATCGATCATCGGATTAGGGTTTTACGTCTTGTTGTATCCTGTTGCGTACCCTAATCCAAATTTTCGATTTTTGTTGTTGTTGTTAGTCCATTGAGCTGGATTCTCTATATGTTGGATATGATTTTTGGAATCATTGCTTCTTGATTCTGTAGATGGTAGGAAAGTTTTGGACTTTTGTCTATTGTATATAAACTTTGGTTAGTTGAATTTTTTGATTGAATTGCTTCCTCGACTTGTGTTATTGGTTTCGGGGTTGAGATCATTTTTGTGGAGTCAATGGATTTGGAGAGTGAAAGCTCTGCGATTGAGTCTGTTGAAATTGAGAAGGAAAACTCTCATTCCAGCTTGGAATCTGACTCAAGAAAGCAGAGTGGAAGAATGATGGACTACAATGAAGGATATATGAATGGAGAAACTTCAAAGAAAAAAGATGATGCGGGAGGAGAAGGTGAAGAGTCGATAAACCAGGACAGTCTCTATTCAGAGGAAATGGATCCATTAACAGAGGCCATCGACGGTTTCCTCACCTTGCAAGAAGCTCTTGAAAAAGGTAGCCATTCTGATATTCTTGTTGCGGATTGTAATTAAACTTGGGATTATTTTTACTGCTATTTCCATACCCATTTCTTGTTTTGAGTCTGCATTGTCATGTTGGAATCAACCCATAACATCAAATGAAAACTTGCTTACCAAGTTTAACGTGACTCTTTCCATTTGCAGAGGTTCAGCTATTCTGTGGGATTGGCAAGGAACCGATACATCATGAAGGAGCCAGTGAAGTAAGCTCACCTTGCTCGGGGACTGAAACCCTTGTGAACAATGTCAAACAACTGGAGACAAAACTAGAAGAGACAAGGTCAATGCTTGAGGTGAAAGAAACACATATCCGTGAGCTTAAATCCACCACGAATCAAAACAGACACTCATGGGGAGGAACAGAGACGTTGGTGGAAGATCTCTTCAGGCAAAGGATTGAGTCCGAGATTCAATATCTTATATATTCAAGATCCATTGATAACTTGAAAAATCAGATGAAGTCGATTGAAGAACAAGAGGCATTGGCAGAAGAGGAAGCTCATGAGATGCTGAACAAGCTCGGAGAACTAGAAACTAAGGCTGCAAATTTAACAAACAGAGCTAAAGACCTGCAAAAAGAGTACAGAGATATTAATGGAACCATCAAGAAGAGAGCATGTAAGACCGCTTCATGCTTCGTTATACAGTTTGTATTGTTGCTAACAGTAGTTTTATTGTTCATGTCTCAATTGTTCTTGGAGTCGGATATTGTTGTACCCACATGATCTTTTTGGTTTTGATGCAAACTGAGTTTTTTTATTTTGGCTTTTCGCATATCTTGTTACCATTTCGGCTCTAACTTTTACCTCTAATATTAGAATTAAATAACTAATCAACGATAAGTCTGTCATAAACTATAACCATAAGAGGTGAGATAACATACG